CAGGGCATCACTGTGCTTGAGATCATGTGTACCGTAGCATGGATTATACATCCATACTTGAACCCCAGAGAGGAGACATCCCTGCATCCTGGGTAACGCCAAGCACCACTGGGACAGGGTGACAGCTCTGGAAGCTTTTCCCAGTCTTGGTGGGAGGAAGGGGCTGGGCTGAAGCTGCCCTGGTAGCGATGGAGAGGCAGGGTGCGGGGTAGGAGGGGTTGAGGCATCCTCTGTTTCCTTAGACCCTGGCGCTCTTGTTCTGTGGCTCCAAGTCACCCAGGGGCCTGGAGTCCAAGAGCTGCTAGGACTGAGGCTGGGAGAAGCATTCCGGAGAGGCCACCAGCACCAGTGGGCACCAACATATAGTCACTGTTCTGTTGTCTTGCTCTTCCTTGTGGTCCCTCCTCATTCTTGCCATGAGAAAAATCATTTTGGTCCCACCAACAAATCAGAGGCCTCTGACATTGACAAGTGACCTTGAAGAGCCTCTGAGCTGAGTCCTTGGGGATGGGGTGGAGAGCAGAAGGCGGGAAGAGAGCCTGGGAGGTTGGCCGCCCCGCAGGCCTTCAGTGTGCTAGGATGGGGGAGAGACAATAATAGCTCTCCAACATTGGTGAGCGAGATGCCCTGGCTGGGGACACTGCAGTCCTGGCTGACATCATCTCTGAGGGCAGAACTCCTGCTGCTCTTATCAGTCCTATGGTGGATGGGGAGCAGTGGGGAGGCATTGAGGATGGAGCCTGCACTGGGCCCAGCATGATCCACTCTGGGGGGGTGGGCAGGCTGTCCCCTTTACCACGGAGCCAGGCCTGGCATCCCAGGCACTGTACAGCCTCATGAGCCGGCTGACTACATGCAAGGCTCTGGGAACTTTTCTTGGAATTATTCATTTTCTCTGTGAGGGATGGACATCATTGTCCCCATCTTCAGATGAGGAAACTGAGGCACAGGGAGTCAAGTGATTTTTCCCAGGTCACACAACCTAGATAGTGGGTGAGACTGGAACGGAGGTGCCTCAAAGACCAACAGTGTAGCCACTAGAGCCTTTTGTTTTTCGAGGCAGGTTCTTGTTATGTAGTAGTTTGGGTAGGTGGTCTTGAACTTGTGTGATCTCCTGCCTCAGCCTCCTGAGTGCTGGGATTACAGGCATGTGGCACCATGCTCAGCTTCTTCCGGTGACTCTGGATGGTTCTGAGCCCTCCACTTCCATAGTGAGGAGGGAAAAGAGTGAAGGCTCACAGCAGCCCTTAGGTATTTAGTGTGGGGAGAGAGCCCTTTCTCCTACTCCCACAGGCCTGAATGGACTTTACTCTGTCAGCACAGCAGGCTGGGCAGGCTCTCCTAGGCCCCAACCCCTCAGCCCTGCTGCCCAACACCCCCCTTCTTCCCTGTGCTTGGCTCAAATATAGCTCTGGTTCCCTTGCAGCTGGCTCCAGGTCCCTGCTCTAGGAAACACCTGGAGTCCTTGTGTCAAGCGCTTAGGTTATCTCATTTTCCCCAACAGCCGTGAGAAGTCATGGTCCCCACTTTATGTGAGACTCTGGGGTCAGTGACAGCTCTTGATACACTTTCACACCACTTTGCACTTGGCAGTGGGGGAGGAGCACACAAATGTGGGAGGCCCAGGCTTGCCCATGGAGCTTCCACCTGTGACTGGAAATCCAATGAGCTGTCTCTTGACCTGGGTTGGGAGATGAGGGTGCTCGGGTTAAATCTCTGTTGCTCTGCTTCGTAGCTCAGTGTGGGTTTCCTCTCTGACCCTCCTTTTGTCATCTGCAGCATGGGGCATTATTCCCACCTGGGAGGTCGAGAGCAATTTGCAGGCACACTGTAGAAGCAACCGTGGCTTCCCAGGGGCTGGCCAGGGGCTTGGCTTCTCTGTGAGCTTTGGTGGCAGCTTCCAGAGGAAGCAGACCAAGCCCCAGCCCTGCTGAACCCAGCGATCCCCTGCCTGGCATCCTCGAGCCAGGGCCCTGAGGAAAGGTAGCCTGCAGCAGGAAGTGGAGGGGCCCACGGTGAGGGGAAAGTCTAAAACTCCTCCAGCTCCCCCAGATGAGGAAAGCTTGTTCTGAGGGGACGAAAGGTGGAGGGGAAGCGGTTCTTGCTTCGAAGCAGCCTGCAGCGTTTCCTAACAGCTCCAGAGGAAGGAAAGGCCTAGCTGCTCCAGGGTCAGGACCTACAACGGGCCTGGCCAGGTGTCACGGCCTTTGTGTTCCTCACCAGAGCCCCCTCCCCGTCCCCCGCTGATGTCCACGGTTTGTCAGAGAAGGAAGGGGGTGTAGGCTTCCAGCTCCCCACTTTCCTGGAGGGCCCCTCTGCCAAGCCAAGACTGGGGAAATCAATTAGGAGTTCAGAAATTACCACCCCGAAGCGCTCTGAAACCAACTGAAGAATTAATCAAACGAGTTCATGACATCAACACCATTGAGGAGGGAATATTCAATTTCCTCTCAAATGAAGGGTTTTCTGTTTTTTTAATAAAAAGGATTTTATATTAATTCACATAATTGCCTCCTGTTAACATACTTGCCAGAACCCAAAAGAAAGAAAAAATGGTTTAAGTATGGATTATGTCTGGTGCATTAAGAATTAAATTATAGGCAACAAAAAAATTCTTGAGTTTTCAAAAATAATTTTTTTGTTTTTGGTACTGGGGATCTAACTCTGGTCCTTGGGCTTGTGCAGCAGGTGGCGAAACCACTGAGCTAAATCCCTGGCCCCAAAAATAATTTTTGAAAAAAATCTACAAATTTTATTTTCTAGCTGGGATCATTTTGGTAGATTTCACATGCATGAAGACAAACACTGACTTGTAGCAAATTAAAATGTGTACATATTTATATGCGTACACAGCTGCCAACCCCCACAATGTGTCCTAAGACCCCAGCAGGTTTCACTGTACTGTCATTCACCCAACCACAATAAGGTTTTCACTCTCCCCGTTCTTGAAAAGCACATTCCAAGCCCAACTTGGGTGACGTCATGGAAGAAATATGTGCATTCATTCATTCATTTATTCATTCATTCACTGTGGTCCTGGGGATTGAACCCAGAGCCTTTGGACAGAGCTGCATCCCAGGCTTTTTTCATTTTATTTGAAGATGGTCTTGATAAGTTGCCCAGGCTGGCCTTGAACTTGCTGTTCTGCCTCAGCCTCCTGAGTAGCTAGGATTACAGGTGGTGCCAACACGCTGGGATGTGCACGTGTTTAAACTCAAACTAATTTCTCCCATGATTCCAAAGCACTAGAAATATGAACATGTACAAATACAAACTACAAGGGAGGGCAGAGTTATTTTTTTTTTTTTTTTTGGTACAGGGGATCGAACTCGGGTCCTTGCGCTTGTGCAGCAAGCGGCAAAACCACTGAGCTAAATCCCTGGCCCAGAGTTATTTTTTAAAAAAGATTAGATTATAAACTTTTCTACTACACCCAAAATCTCTAGATGTCAGAGACCTTCTCTTGCCTGGCCCAGCCCACCCCTGCCCAATCCTGTCCCATGGGCTCAGCTCAGGTATCAAACACGGGGACACAGAAATAAAGCTCTGGGGGCCAGGCAGGGACTTTCTTGTGAGGCTGAGTCAAGGAGAAAATGGTGCTGCTTCCCATCCCCATGACCTCCGAGAGCCCCCAAGGCGGCTGACTTAGACTAAGCTAAGGGGTGGTTGGCGGGGTCACTGGGGTAACCAACAGTGGCCTAGGGTGGGGCGGGGCTGGGGCCTGAATTCTGCCTCTCAAGTCAGAGAGGAAAGAAGTTTTTCTCTCAGAGCTGGATTCTCCCTGAAGAACCAGCCCCTCACCAGCCTCTTCCCGGGTCCTGTACCTGTTAGGGTTTCTTTTGCTTAAGAAATTGTGTAAGGGCTGGGGATTTAGCTCAGCCTGCCTCATAAGCACAAGGTCCCGAGTTCAATCCCTGGTAGCAAAAAAAAAAAAAGAAGTGCAACAATACTTGCCAGGGATTTAGCTCAGTGGTGGCACTGCCTGCCTCACAAACACAAGGTCCTTAGTTCGATCCCCGGTACCAAAAAAACAATCAAAAATAAGAAATTGTGTAAGTTGAGGACCCCATCCAACCTAGTTTCTCAGGAAGCAAGAGGGGCTGGCATTACCTCCAAGACACAGACCTGTCCTTCGGGATCTCACTAAGCAGAAGGCGGGCAGTGCCTGGAGAGAGGGAAGGACACTGTCCAAGCCACCTGAGGGCCACCTCCTTGGCCTCAGTCCACAGGTTTAGGGTGAGCATTTCCCTGCAGAACAGTTCCAAAATAGCACTTCCATACAGTTTTGATTCTTTCTCCTCTGTGTACTCAAGTAACACTATTTATCACAGATAGATTTAAAGGGCTGGGGATTAGCTCAGTGGCACCGTGCCTGCCCACAAGCACAAGGTCCTGAGTTTTATCCCTGGTACCAAAAAAACCAAAGTTTTATCACAGATAGATTTAGTTGGTTGCTTTTTTTGGTACTGGGGATCGAACTTTTGCTGCAAGGCAGGCGACAGAACCACTGAGCTAATCCCTGGCCCTATCACAGACAGATTTAGAAAAGATGCTTACTGGTTACTTAAAAAGAAGAAAAGAAGTAGCATTCACTGTATTTTTCATCATGTAAAGACACTCATGAAAGAGGACTTCCAGAACTGCTTCAGAAAGTGGCAAGAACAATGGGATGTGTGTGTTCAAATTGAGGGAGAATATGTTGAGGGGGATTAATAGTGTGTCTTTTACTGTAATGAATTTGTATTTTTTATTTTTTATTTTGGTACCGGGGATTGAACTCAGGACCTTGCGCTTGCAAGGCAGGCGCCAGAACCACTGAGCTAAATCCCCGGCCCATGAATTTGTAATTTAAACATTTGCTGTATATTTTGATCTCCTCTTGTAAAAGAACACTGTCTACGAGTGCTACAGTAACTTGAGCAAGGAAAGGGACAAGGCAGGGACAGCACCTGCTGCTGCTGCCCACATTCAAATATTAATGCGTTTCTTACAGAAATCTGGCTTTCTGGCTTCTCACAAACACATCGGAAAATCTGAGCTTGCATTCCCATAGAGTCAATCAATCAGCAGCCCCATCAGGGAAGTGTCTGCCCTTTGTCGTACTACTGTTCCCACCTCTCCCTAATGTCTCCTCCTTCAGGCCAACAGCCAGGCTATTGTTGGTTTTCCTGGGCTGTATCATCTGCCAGTCCCCGTGAAGGATCCTGGCTTGGCCATCCTTTGATGAGGACACTCACAGAGGCCAAGTAGCCTTCAGAGTTGGCATTTGATTTCCTGGGACCAAATCTTTAAATATGCAGCTGTAACCTGAACCTGGAGCCACTCCTGACGGCTTGCCTGGCCCTCATTATGACATTTAGCCTGTGATTGATACCAAGTGTGTCATGGATACCTTGGCAACTAATCGCAGGGTGGGATCTATGGAAACCAAACAGAACAGATTTGTCTTCCCTGCCATTTTGGCTGTGATCTGGGAAACAGACTCCCTTGGCCTCTCTGCAAATGAGGTATCTGGGAGCCATACAGTGAGAGATGCACACAGCCACCCTCAGGATTTGGAAAGATTACAGGTCTGTGGTTTCTGGACGGCTCCTAGCTTTGTTCTCTTCCCCATCACCGCAGTGCTGGAGGATAATGGATCCCAGAGCCCCTCTGCGTGCCAAGCTGCTCAGGGCAGACCACGCCACTTCCGCTTCTGTCTGGAAATGCAGCCGGGCTTTCAGCACAGGGGTGGGGCGGGGAGGATTCTCTGCAGTCTGATGGAGGAGGCACAGCCCCAGCTAGGGTGAGGACGGCCGGGTGACTAAAGGGGGGCAGATGAAGGTTCAGCGTGCAGCAGCAGTACATTCCAGCATTGCCCCAAAATCACTTCCTCTGAAACCTCCTTTAGAGGCAGGCAGGTCCAAAAGGGCCTAAACCACCGCATTTCTGCACATGCAGCTAGCTTCTCACTTCAAAACAAGATTGGTTCTGGTCATGGGCTGAACTTCAGGCCCATCAGAGTTAGGGTCCCCGTGGGCCTGGAGCAAGAACAGCTGTCACTGTGTGCTTAGGACACCAGGGATCTGCACCGGTTGGGCCTTGGACGTTGGTGGGAGGGGGCACCGGGCCAGCTCGCTCCCTGCACTTCCCTCCCTCACCCCACCTTCAGGTCAGCCCTAATTCAGCAGCCCTGACTGAGTCCCCCCACAAGGCCTGTCAGGTCTTTATCATCTCCCTACCCATTCATTCATTTCTGCCTCAGCCCATCCATTCATAAAGCCATTCCCTCATTAACAAACACCTCCCAGCCAAGTGTGGTGGTCCATGGCTGCAACCCTAGCACTTGGGAAGCTGAGGCAGGAGAACTGATGCAAGTTTTTTTTTTTTTTGGTACTGGGGATGGAACTTGGGTCCTTGTGCTTGCAAAGCAGGCGGTGGAACCACTGAGCTAAATACCCGGCCCAATTCATCCAAGTTTTTGAGGCCAGCCTGGGCTACACAATGAGTTCAAGGTCAGTCTGACATAGTGAGACCCTGTCTCAAGAAGCAAACACACACACACACACACACACACACACACACACACACACACACACACACCAACCAAATGTTTCCCTAGCATGTCCTGTGTTCCAGACACCGAGGCTACAGAGATGAAAAGCACCAAGGTGTCCTGGGGCAGGGTCATCCTGCCCTCTCCTCTCTGCATCTGGGGCCAAGTTCTGGCCCCACCTCAAAGAGAAGATGGAAGGCCCCTTACTACCCTTCTGTTCTCAGAAGCTCCCTCTTTGGCCACATCTCAGGCAAATACTTAGTGGCAGACTAAGTGATCTTCCTGCCTCAGCCTCCCAAGTAGCTGGGACAACAGGAGCTTGCTACTATGCCCAGCACCCTTTTTTTTTTGTAGTTTTATTACCGAGAATTCCAAACATACCCAAAGCAGAACAGTAACTACCTTCAACCATCATTCAACCCCAACCCCCAGCTCCGTGCTGTTGCATATTTGCGAGTATTTCTGTGTGTATTTTTAAAAGATAAGGCCCTGTGGTATAATTTCACTGTCTTCACAATCTCCTGCAAATTTCCTATCATATCTCGACCCTGAGGACTCTGCCAAAGAAAAACTACTCTAGTTGGTGGTGTGTTCTTCCATCAGAAGGCAAATAATGTCTAATTGTCCCTCTTTTCTTTTTTGAGACAAGATCTTGGTATGTAGCTCAGGCTGGCCTTGAACTTGCAGCACCCAGGTGCTGGGATCACAGGCATGCATCACCATGCCCAGCTTTGTCTCTTTATTCTTACGTCATTAGCAGTCAACACTGGGTGCCTGGTGCATCCTCCCTTATTATCTGGAGTACTTTATCACAAAGTTTCCCTCATTTACCCAGTAGTACAGTTTGTGTCCAAAAGGAACAATACATGCTAGATTCTATTTATCCAACTTCAAAATAAGGAGTTGCTTCCCTAGCACCTTCCAACAGTGAATAATTAAGTCCCTTACCATTTCAATGTGTAATGTGTTTCAATGCACTGGAGTTATTTTTATTATTTGTGTTCAAATGGTCTGGTTTTTTTTTTTTTTTGGTACCAGGGATCGAACTCGGGTCCTTGTGCTTGCAAGGCAAGCAACGGAACCACTGAGCTAAATCCCCGGCCCATAATTAAGGTTCACTTTTTTTTTTTTTTTTCTTTCATGCTGGGGATTGAACTCGGGACCTTGCGCTTGCAAGGCAAGCAACGGAACCACTGAGCTAAATCCCCGGGCCAAATGGTCTGTTTTTGATAAGTGGGAACCTTTCAAGTAGCATTCCGAGTGGTCTTTGATCCTAAGAGTCTCTGAAGCTCCCAGCCCTTTCCCTTCGGATCCCTGGCCGGCCAGGACGTCCATACTGTGTTCTCCGTTCCCCGCCCTCTCTGCGGGCGAGGGATTTGTGCTACAAACACCTTCACTGAATGATTTGCTTCATCTGTAAGATGGGGTTAATAACATCGCTACCTCAGAGAGCTGTTAAGATTAAATGCATTCATAATCACAAAGAGCCTGGAACAAAATGGTGACTGCACAAAATTAATATTAAGTATAGTCCTCCTCAATACCACAGGGGACGAGCTCTAGGAGCCCCCAGGATACTCTGATGCAGAGGGGTGCAGGATTTGCATATAAGCTGTGCATATACTCCTACATACTTCAAACCAAGCCAAAATTCCTTCCAAAACCTAATGCAATGTGCATTCGATGTAAATAGTTGTACGCAGTATTGTTTAGGGAAAATGTCAAGGAAAAACGTCTGCATAGTCTTAGAACAGGTGTGATTTTTCTTTTTGGATTATTTTCAATCCTCAGTTGGTGGGCTTCATTGATTTGGAAGAAGTGGAAGTGGAAGGCTGGCTGTATCTGTCAAATAAATAATATTCTCGCCCCATCATGCACCTCTCTGCTCCTGTCACCCACCTTCTCCTGCCCTCTAGTCACAGAACACAGTACAACCCCCCTCCCCAGGCTGTGGGCCTGGAGATGATCATTTACTCAGCTCTGGGAACACACACTGCCCGATCCCACACTGACTTCTTTTCCTTGGGGACAATAGGAACTTGTCCATGTTCCACCAGTGGAGCGCACTGTGCCATCCCAGTCAATATCCCTTCCACTGTGCAGACATGGCTTCTCCCTGCTGAGAAATTAAGGCAGCAATGACCAGCCTCCTAGTGCGAAAGCCACAAACACAATCCATAGTGTCCCAACCAGTCAGCCAACCCCCACATGGCCAGCTCTCCCGGTCCCCAGGCTTCTCACCACCGCCTCTTGTGTGGCAGTGGAGACCCCTGTCTGGTCCGATCTGGATGCAGGCACCACCTTCCTGTTGGCCAACAGTTCCTGTGGTCGTCAAGAGGGCCACAGGCCTGCAGTGTCAGGGATCTCCTGGGGCTTCGGACTTGGGTTCAAAATGGTCCAAACTAGCAGGATCCAGACAGTAAAGGAAAAAGGAGGCACCAAAGAAGGAGTTAAGTCTAAAAGAAAGGTGGAAAGTGACTGGATGCTGGGAGGATTTCTTGGGCCCAAATCCCATTTGGGGTTTGCTGCATGCAAATCCACCTCAGCCCTCAGTGCTTCCAGATCTGGAAACGCTGGAATGTTGGGGAGAGTCGTTTAACTGCCACTGTGTCTGCCCCCACTTCCCTGTGTGCCTGGATGTGTGCAAGAACACAGCAGGCTGGGCACATGCTGGCCAGTGTAAGTTTGGCTTCTTCCCACTGTTCCTGTAGCACCTGTCCATACCCTGGTGTCCCTGCTAAAACCCATCCGGACCCTCTCTCATGACCAGCTGCAGAAAGGAGAGCAAATCCCTTGGCTCCAAAATGACATCTGGAGACACGAAGACAAGCCTCAAGAATGCCTACTTGCCTGCCAAGGGGCTGTCCTTGCGGGTACAGGAGGCAGAGGAGGCCGAGGACTACTGCACACCCGGCGCCTTCGAGCTGGAGCGGCTCTTCTGGAAGGGCAGCCCTCAGTACACCCACGTCAACGAGGTCTGGCCCCGGCTCCACATCGGCGACGAGTAAGTGCCCAGGGAAGGCAGCAGCCCATCCCCTGCCGGCTCACCCCTTGTCTTGGCCATGACCTTTGGCTTAGTTGTGCAGTGCCAATCCTGTGTGGGTGCATCTTCATTTCACAGGAAAGCCAGAGTAGAGGCTTATTTCTGTCTTGTGTAGGCGTCCAGAGGAGGGCAAGCCAGGGCTGGCATGACTGCTGGGTCCCCAGGCACTCGGGCTCTGTTCCACCATCCTGAGGGCCTGGCTGCAAGGTGGATGCAGGGTGCTAGGCAGATAGGAGGCGCTGACCAACAAAATGGGACCCAGTCCTCAGGACTGGGAGAGAAAGGAAGACAAAAAGGACAATTTTCCAAAAGGAAGTGATGCTCAAGACTTCCCCTGCCCGTAGCAGCAAGGGAGGCTGGGAATTATTGTCTTTTATTTATTTATTTTTGGTACTGGGGATCGAACTCGGGTCCTTGAGCTTGCGTAGCAGGTGTTGAAACCACTGAGCTAAATCCCCAGCGCTACTGTCTTTTATTTTAGCTGAGCATAACAGCAGCAAGAATAAAATCAATTGTTAGATTGATGGCATAGGCCATGCATCTAGAATGATAGTAAGGCTAAGTTTTGGTCACCATCCCCCTTTCTAGGTTTTATATCCACCATTCGCCATTCCACAAAAAAACTGAGAAATGACAACTATAGAGTTACAATGGCTACAATGATAACAATGGCTATCTTTTATGCGGCAGGATATCCAGGCACTGTGCTAATAAGCACCCAACACGTGTGATCTCATTTCATCCTAAGGATACCCCAGTGAAAGAGATTATCTAAGGAAACTGAGGCAGAAGCAGTTTAGTAAGCATCTCTAGGTCCCATGTCTTGGTGGTGGAGAGCTAGGGTTCAACTACAGCTTTGCCCAATCCAGAAGGTGCGGTCATAACCACCACTCCAACTCCAGAACTTCAGCGCATGTTCCATCTCTCTATGGAGCAGGTGGGGCAGGGCCCCTGAGTGTGGGATCTTCGCACACATCTTGCTGCTTTAAGAACCAGAAATAATTAGCAGGGTGCAGTGGTGCATACCTGTAATCCCAGCACTCAGCAGGCTGAGGCAGGAGGATCACTGAGAGTTCCTGGCCAGCCTGGGCTATGTATTGAGTTCAAGGCCAGCTTGAACTACATAATGAGACCCAGTCCAAACAAACAAACAAACAAACAAACCTACCTAGAAATAACTGCCTAGCCAGGAGAATCACCCAAGGCAGAATCCCTTATTTTTTCCTTCATTTTTTTTTAAATGTGAGGAGTTAAACAAATTACATATCCCTGGGCATAGTGGTACATGCCTATAATCCCAGCTACAGGCAGGAAGATCTCAACTTCAGGCCCAACCTGGGCAACATAGCAAGACTTATCTCAAAATAAAAAGCTTAGTAGAGCATTTTCCTAGCATGTGCATGGCCCTGGATTCAATCCTCAAGACGAAAAAAGTTACATGCTTTTTTATACTCATATAAACTAAATAGGGGGTTACAAAAAATTGCATAATCTCCTCTTAATTCTACCACTAACCAGTATTAAGTTCACTAGTATATTTCTAGTACTTCATGCATGCTATTGCAAACATAAGGAAACATATAAAGGGTTTTCATTTCTTCTATACAATTTTTTTTAAAAAAGAACATCACACATACTCTTCTGTACTTTGAATATTCCATAATTGTTTACCTAATCATTTTCCAGTTGAGAACATTACAGTCTTAAGTGAGAGTACACAGAAATTGTTTTCTCTTTTGCTTTCACCTTTTTTTTTGCTTTTTTCTTCTGCTTTCTCTTTTGTTTTTCACGTACCGTAAAATTCATCCTTTTAAATTATACAATTCAGTGGTTTTACTATATTCACGGAGTTGTGCCATCACCACTATCTAATTTCAGAACAGTTTTATCACCTCAAGAGGAAACTCAGAACCATTAAAAACAGCTACCCCTCATTCCTACTTTCCCCAGCCCCTGGCAAACACCAGTCTACTTTCTGTTTTATGGATTTACCTGTACTGGACATTTCATATAAACAGAATGAGACAGTATGTGGCCTTTTGGGATTGGCTTCCTTTCACCTTGCATACTGTTTAGGGCCCACTCAAGTTCTAGCATGGATCAGTATCTTATTCCTCTTTACTGTCAAACAATTTTTTACAAATTTTCTGTAAATCTAAAATTAGTTTTTTAAAAAGGTACATATACATTTTTAAAAAAAAAAAACAGGGTCCCGCTATATAGTTCAGGGTGCAGGCTGGTTTTGAACTCACTATGTAGTCCAGGCTGGCCTCAAATTCATGGCAATCCTCCTGCCTCAGCCTCTCAAGTGCTGGGATTACAGGTGTGCATCACCCTAATCACACCCAACAAAAAGGTACATATATATTTCAACCCAAAAATCACTTTAGGAAACATAATTCATAGAAATAAGAGTATTAATACATAAGGAAATATGCACAGTAATATCTATTATAACACTAGCAAAAAAGGGGGGACCTGAATCTCTTATCTTTTAATAATAAAATATTAAATAAATCTAGTAAATATATTTTCCTACTGCAAAAGCAAAATATGCTCATTGTATGAATAGGCAAGTATTAGTTCCCTATTTGCAATAAGATAATAAAAAACCTTCCTTGTGGGCTGGGGATTTAGCGCAGTGGTTCTGCCGCCTGCATCACAAGCGCAAGGTCTCCAGTTCGATCCCCGGTACCAAAAAAAACCCAAAACCTTCCTTGTAGGGTTCTATGGATTGTGGTAGTATGTGTAAAATAGTACAGTTCCTCATACATAGTGAGCATTTAATAATGGTTAGCTATAATAATAAAATAGTGATTAGTGTAAGGAAGAAAACTTCAATGTCTCAAGTCCATTGTTTGTTTTGGTTTTGGTACCGGGGATTGAACTTGGGTCCTTGGGCTTGCAGGGCAGGTGGTGGAACCACTGAGCTAAATCCCTGACCCAAGGCCATTGTTCCAAAGCCATATATTTCAGTACATTTTCTCCTAGACTTCCATTGTATTATTTTTGGTTGAGTAATTAATTTGTTTTTATGTATCTGTAACTACATTGATGATCATTTCATCTCATGTTTTTCACCTAACATCATTCCCTTGGAAACAACATTTCCCTTATTACATGCCTCTCATATTTGTAACTATAATAGATAATAATATATCAGAAGGATAGGAGATCATTTATTTAACTACTTCCCTACTGTTGAACATAATGGTTGTTTCCATATTCTCACTTTTATAAACAATACTACAGCAGACAGCTTTGTGCATAAATGCTTCCACATGTAGGATTTTTTCTTTAGCTCTCACCTTAAAATGGTATGGCATGGGGCAGGGGATTAAGGTGTTAAGATTTAGACCAGCTCTGTGTCTTGGCCATGCCGCTGCTCCTTTGCCTAACCATCTTCCCTTTACCTCACCTCGTGTGCCGGTCCTCCTGGATGATCTCCTTTCTGTGTTCAGTCCGTATCGGTCTTCAAAGTTCACACAAATCCCTTCTGCCATGAAAGTAGCTTTCCAAATCCCCACAGTGAGAAGCACATTGTTTCTCTCTGTGTATTATATATAACATTTGTCTCTCTTATGGCGGATAAGAATAATAATGAGTTGTACTGAATTCTCACTCATGCGCCATGCCTTGTGCCAGGCTCATTCAGACTCCACAACAACCCTATGAAGGAGGTACATATCACTCTTATTTTACAAATGGCCAAACCAAGGCTCACAGTTCAGTCAGTTAGCATTTTCTGGGCAACTTGCAGGGAGCCGAAAAGGAAAGTGAGACTTGACTGGCCTTCAGGTCACACTACCAGTAAATCACAGAATTTATTTATTTTTTTGGTACTGGGGATCAAACTGGGGCCCTTGCGCTTGCAAGGTAGGCAGCAGAACCACTGAGCTAAATCCCCAGCCCAATCACAGAATTTATACTCAAAACCCAGATCAAAAACCAATCAGTCGGGCCAGGGATTTAGCTCAGTGGTTTTGTCGCCTGCTACACAAGCGCAAGGACCCGAGTTCGATCCCTGGTACCAAACAAACAAACAAAAACCAATCAGTCAGCAAAAGAAGCAGCTTTATATGTGAGGAGAGGAGAAGATATGTGTAGAAATGTAGCCAGAATGCACTGGAAAGAGTGCAGGGCTGGGGTCTTGGCTCTGATGATTACAGCTGTGTGACCATGGACAAGTTAGTTTACCTCTTCTCCTTCCCTGGCGAGGTCACAGGGCTTTTCTCCTGGGGTGAAGATGAACTGCATTAAACGAGTGTCAGAGCCTTATCTGGCATGCAGCAAGTGCTGAGTACACGCTTGGTATTATCACGGATCTGAGTAAGATCCCAGAGGACGTGGATTCCAAGCCTGGCTTTGGAAGATGTGTAGGGTTTCAAAGAAATTCCAGAGAGTGGGACCAGGAAGCCATGGAGGTGAGAGCAAATCAGGTGATTTATCTGGAACAGATGGGATGAGTGTGGTAGGAAGCACACTTTCAGGAGTCTGGGATTCAGCTGGGTTCCACCACCGTGTAGTTGGTGCAGGTTGTGCTAATCTAAGTGGCTGTGCTGACACCCCAGTGGCTTTCCATGCCAATGGTTCATTTCACTCATGTGACAGCTCGAAAAAGCAGCTGTGACCTGCTCCACGGCCACTGGAGTCCAGCCCCCATCTGCAATCTGCTGGGATATTTCTCTCTTGCAACTAAGACAAAAGAGGCATGGAAAATCATAACCTGACTTAAAGGTGACACATGCTATTTCTGCCCATGTGTCACCCAGCAAAAAGCACATCCATAAAAAAAGAAAAAATTAAAAAAAAAAAAAGCACATCCATGCCAAAGCCTTATGATGACAGGACAGGAAAGTATAACCTACCCCTACCCCTATCGAGGGACAGCAATCCACCACAGCTACCTGCTAAAGTGTAGTGGCTTTGGGCAGCACCTTTGACCTTTTGGGGCTTATGTT